ACCTCTACACACCTGCACACGCCTGCACATTGACACACCTGCGCACACCTGTGCACACCTGTGAGTGCCTGCACACACCTGCGCACACCTGTGAGGACTTGTACATACCTGTACACACCTGTACACACCTGCACAAAGCATGTACTGTAACTCAGCTCACCTGCACACACCTGTACACACCTGTACACACACCTTTGCACACCTGCACACACCTGCACACACCTGCACACACCTGTACACACCTGTACACACACCTTTGCACACCTGCACACACCTGCACACACCTGCACACACCTGCACACACCTGTACACACACGTTTGCACACCTGCACACACCTGTACACACTTGTGCACACCTGCACACACCTGCGCAGGGCGCACCTGTGCACCTGTGCACTGACACGCATTGTACCTGTATGGCACACCTGTACATTGACACACCTGTACACACCTTTAGGCACCCATGAATACCTGCACACACCTGCGCACACCTGAACACACCTGTACACACCTGTGCTTTGCACACCTGTGCACCTGGGCACTGACACGCATTGTACCTGCACTGCACACCTGTACACACCTGTACAATGCGCACCTGCACACCTGTGCTTTGCACACCTGCACACCTGGGCACACCTGTGCACCGGTGCACCTGTGTGCACCTGTGCTTTGCACACCTGTACCGCTGCGCATGGCCCACATTACACCTGTACTGCACACCTGACACACCTGCACACACCTGTGCAATGCACACCTGCACACCTGGGTATTGACACGCATTGCACCTGTAGTGTACACCTGACACACCTGTGCACACCTGTACACACCTGTGCAATGCACACCTGTGCACCTGGGCACTGACACGCATCGTACCTGCATGGCGCGCCTGCACACTTGTGCAATGCACACCTGTGCACCTATGCTTTGCACACCTGTACCGCTACGCATGGCCCACATTACACCTGTACTGCACACCTGTACACACCTGCACACACCTGTGCACCTGGGCACTGACACGCATTGTACCTGTATTGCACACCTGCACACCTGTGCAATGCACACCTGCGCACCTGTGCTTTGCACACCTGCACCGCTGTGCATGGCCCACACTACACCTGTACGGCACACCTGACGCACCTGCGCACACCTGTCCAATGCAAACTTGCACACACCTGTGCAGTGCACACCTGTCCAATGCACACTTGCACACCTGTGCAATACACACCTGCACACACCGGTGCATGGCCCACATTACACCTGTACTGCACACCTGCACACACCTGCGCACACCTGAACACAACTGCGCACACCTGATACACCTGTACACACCTGACACACCCACCCAGGTGCACCCCCACAGGTGCCCCCAGATACCCCCAGGTGTCCCAGGTGTGCCCAGGTGTGTCCCAGATACCCCCAGGTGTGCCAAGGTGTGTCCCAGGTGTGCCCAGGTGTGACCCCCCTCACCTGGGCCAGGCTGGGCCCCCCCAATTCAGGTACCGCAGGTCCGGGAGCTCCGCCCCTTTCTGGCCACGCCCCCGGGCACACCTGAGCCTGGCCACGCCCCTTGGGCACACCTGGCCACGCCCCCGGGCACACCTGAGCCTGGCCACGCCCCCGGGCACACCTGGCCACGCCCCCGGGCACACCTGAGCCTGGCCACGCCCCCGGGCACACCTGGCCACGCCCCCGGGCACACCTGAACCTGGCCACGCCCCCGGGCACACCTGGGTTGGTCACGCCCCTTGGGCACAGCAGGGCCTGGCCACGCCCCCCAGGCACACCTGGGCCTGGCCACGCCCCCCGGGCACACCTGGGCCTGGCCACGCCCCCGGGCATACCTGGCCGCGCCCCCGGGCACACCTGGCTGCGCCCCCGGGCACACCTGGGCCTGGCCACGCCCCCGGGCACACCTGGGTTGGTCACGCCCCTTGGGCACACCTGGCCACGCCCCCGGCGCACCTGGGCCTGGCCACGCCCCCGGGCACACCTGGCCACACCCCCGGGCACACCTGGCCACGCCCCCGGCGCACCTGGGCCTGGCCACGCCCCCGGGCACACCTGGCTGCGCCCCCGGGCACACCTGGGCCTGGCCACGCCCCCGGGCACACCTGGCCACGCCCCCGGCGCACCTGGGCACGCCCCCGGGCACACCTGGGCCTGGCCACGCCCCCGGGCACACCTGGCCACGCCCCCGGCGCACCTGGGCACGCCCCCGGGGTTTTGGGGCCAATCCGAGCGGTTTCTGGACAAGCACAAGCGGCCCCCGCGGCCCCCCCGGCCCCGCGGCCAATAAAGGGACGAACCCGGCCCGGCTCCGCCTCCCTGCGACCCCCGGGAACACCGGGAACGAACACCGGGAACACCGGGAACACCGGGAATAAACACCGGGAACAAACACCGGGAACACCGGGAACACCGGGAATAAACACCAGGAATAAACACCGGGAACACACACCGGGAACAAACACCGGGAACACCGGGAACACACACCGGGAACACCGGGAATAAACACCGGGAATAAACACCGGGAACAACGGGAACACCGGGAACGAACACCGGGAACAAACACCGGGAACACCGGGAACACCGGGAACAAACACCGGGGAACACTGGGAAATACCGGGGAACACCGGGAACACCGGGAACAAACACCGGGAACAAACACCGGGAACACCGGGAATAAACACCGGGAATAAACACCGGGAATACCAGGGAAATACCGGGAATACCGGAAATACCGGGAATAAACACCGGGAATACCGGTAACACCGGGAAATACCGGGGAACACCCGGGAAATACCGGGGAACACCGGGAAACACCGGGAACACCAGGGAAATACCGGGAAATACCGGGGAACACTGGGGAATACCGGGGAACACCGGGAAATACCGGGAAACACCGGGAATACCGGGAATACCGGGAACACCAGGGAACACCAGGGAACACCAGGAACACCGGGAATACCGGTAAATACCGGTAAATACCGGGAAATACCGGGGAACACCAGGAAATACCGGGAAACACCGGTAAATACCGGGAAACACTGGGAAATACCGGGGAACACCGGGAACACTGGGAACACCGGGAATAAACACCGGGAAACACAGGGAATACCGGGAAATACCGGGAAACACCGGGAAACACCGGGACCCTCCCGGGACCCCCCTCGGGATCACCGGGACGCCCACGGGACCACCGGGATCAGCCCCGGGACCCAACCGGGACTCCCCCCCCCGGGAAACACCGGGACCACCGGGAGCCCCCCAGGACCCCCTCGGGAATCACCGGGAAAGACCGGGACTACCCC